TTGGCTTTGCTTCAGGGCCTGGCTTAGAAATGGCGCTTCGAGCTCTCGGGTTTGGGAGGTTATGCTTTGGGATGTAAGGGTATATTCTTGTGGGTTTAGGGTCCAGGGTTTAGAGTCTCTTAAGGTCAAACTGCACTATGCATTTCCACTTCTATTTCCGACCCTAAACCCAAAATGCTGAGACGTGACGGCATGGCATGGTCCTATGTACACTTGGCTTTCGCACAACACAGCAACTTGCCTGGCATGGCCACAGTGGCTACATGTCCCTCGTATATAGAAACAGGACAAAGCTCTGGATTTTCTGCTCTGGGCCTGCAACTCTGGCTGCTGTGCAGCGAGTTCATGTGGCCTGCATTGACCTCACATATGCGGTCCGTCTTGAAGAGCCTGGGCCTGTGATGGCCATGTTTGGCTTTAGCAATCACGACAAATCCCTGGCATGGCCATGCAGGCTGGGATGTGCATGCACTCGTCGAACTTGGCATGAAGTATAACAAAGCAAGCATGACATGGCCCCTGAAGGCTCACTTGCTCCAGGAGAGTCCTGCTACATGTACTTTTCCTCGCAAACAAGCAGAGTGCATGGAAGTCTGCATCAACTGGTGCGGTACCTTCTATGGAAATCCTTGGGCAGAGCACATTGGCCCCCCCATGGCTCGTAGTTGGGGTCCGCCCACATCATCTGCCACTCCTCCCAGCCACGGCCGTACTCCCAGGGTTCTAGAGGCGGAAGATCTGGCTTCTCGGTCTTGGAGTTGGCTGCTGGCTTCTTCTGGGCTTTCGCCTTGCACACAGGTGCTGACTTCTTCTTGGCCTTCGCCTTCCTGCTCTGGGCAGCTGCCTTGTGGACCACCTTCATGGCTTTCATGGGGGCAGCAGGCTTCTTGAAGACCATGGCTTTGGGCATGGTGCAGGCGGAGGAAGCTCTTGGGAAGAAGTGGCTGGATCAAGCAGACAATTACAGACATGGTATAGCCATGGTGGCAGGCTAGAAAGCAGAATCGGTGCTGGGACAGCCACAGGAGGCTTGCTCAAGTCACCTGGATCCAAGAAGGTGCTTCTTTTTGCCGCAACAGCCTGGTCCCTGCAGCTCTGCAAAACTTGGAACCCTCAAAACTCCTGCAGCTCTGCATGGTGCAAGGATGGATCCCATGTGCATGGCCCATAGAGGCTGGGTCAGCCCTTCCTGGGCTTTTTCTTGGCTGAAGCCGACGTGGCTGCTTCCTCCTCGACCTTCTGCAAGATTTGCTCATTGGCTTGGATCTTCGCAGGGTTATGGAGGATGGGCACGGTGCATGGCCCCTGCTTGATCGTAGTCAAGACCATGTTGCCCTCATCCTCGCCCTCTGCTGTCCTGCACCAGAAAAATGGCACGATGGTGCCCTCTGCCTGGAACTGGAGGTCCTGCTTCCAGCTTCCAATGGCCCAGTCATGGCCGAAGGCCTGAATGGCCAGCTTGGGCGGCTTCTGGCCTGTCTTCACTTTGCTGATGGAACCCAATGGAACCAGCTTGAGCTTTTTGCTGGCAATGGCTTTCTTGGCATACAGTGCCTGGGGACTGGAAGCCATGCAAAGGAGTTCCAAGTCCTCGACCGACTGTTTTGGTAGCATTGGTGGAGTGCCGTGACCACAGCTGCCTTTTGGAAGTCCTCCTGGGCCATGGCATGGCTGGATGGGAGTTGCCTGGTTATGATGTCGGCTGGGCCGATGGCTGGCATGGAGTGGCGGGAGACCCGCCACTTCCCCAGCCCCGCCAGCGGCACATGGACTGTCTCCGGTGCCTGGAGCACTGGCCTGTGCTCCATGGTCCCACCCTCGTTGGTGATTTGCAGGAGCTGGTAGACCTTGGCTCCGTGCTCCTTTGGCAAGGTGTACCTTGGTTTGTGTATGGAATGTATCTACAGCAGAATCTTATGAGGGAACAGACATTAAAACAGCAAAACTCCTATGTGCAATCATGGGCACTGGTCGCCCACCTTGATGTGGGTGTTCTGGAGCAAGGTGGCTTCCCATGGCTGGGCAGAGACTGCATCCTTGATGGTCTTTGCCTCTGCAGCTGGGGTGGCCTGCTTGACCTTGGAAACGTCCTGGGTGAAAAGGTCGAGAATCTGGGCCAGGGACTCCAGCTTCTGCTGGGCATCAGGGCCAAGCTTTTCCTTTTTGGTCAGAAACAAGATGGCTCTGACGCAAAACTTGCCGAAACACTTGTAGAGATGGTTGCTGCCGGCATTGGTGCTGGTGCCTTCTGGAAGCTGGCTCTGGACCAGTTTCCAGGAATCCGAAAGCATGGACTCCGCCGTCCTGACGGACTCCATGTTCTGTGGCGACGACAGTCTCTGGACGTCGGCTCTGGTGAGGAGTCGTGCGAAGCCGTCTTGCTGTTTGGTGGATGTGCACTGGGTTGCCCATAGAGCTGTGCGGAGCAATGGGTAAAGGTTGCCAGGGTCTGGGAAGGTGGTGTGCGACAACGCCTCCATGAAATCCTGGCCCATCATGCACGTGGTGCCGTAGGTGGAGGAGAAGTGGGAAAGGAATTTCAGCAATGGAAAGCTTGTGCCTCCAGAGTATCTCGAGACATAATGCCCTATGGCTGGGAGGCTCTGCCTGCAGGCAACTTCGCCGCTGGCAACGGACTGGATTGCCGACTCCAGACTGGCTCCCATTTGCACTTGAATGGCTATTTGGCAGGCTGCTTCCAACTCGCTGGTGGCTCTGCCAATGGCATTGCCAGAGTTGGCTCCGACTTGGAAGAACTGTGGAAGGCTTGGCATGGCTTCTTCCACACTGGAGGCCACCACATGCCACCGCCACCCGGTCTGGATGGCGGACCAGACTGGGTCTGTCTTGGGCACGGAGATGGCTTTGCCACTGGGATCCGTGGTCCCATGCTCCAGGCATCTCAAGAATGCCGTGGTGTGGCTGCTGGCAAGGGATAGGTATCCTCAGTGGCCAATGTATGTCTACAATATACATTTATCCGCAAATTGTAAATGGATTGGATATATAGAGAAAAGGAAACCAATTCTATGTGTCATCTGAGTGGCCCTCTGCTCCACTGACTGGGGCCAGGGAGCCCTTGCTCTCCTGGACCAGCTGCTGGTTCCTCCAAACCTGCTGCTGGCGCTTTTGGGGGTCCGTGGACATCTGGAGACAAATGGACCCTTGGAGCAGATGCACTTGCAGGCCAACTGCCAAGAGTTGGTGTCCCTTGGCCCAAACGTCAAAGTGGGACACCATCTGCCCTCCCCGGTTGGAGGGGTGGCAAAGAACTTGGCTTGGAACCAAGGTCTGCTGCTGGCAGAGGCCATGGTGCTCCAGCACCTGCAAGACCTTGGTGACTCTGGTGTTCACTGGCTCGCGGCCATTCACAATGGCCTCCACCTCTTGGACCACAGCTGGAGGGACAGCCATGGCTTCTGGCTTCTGTGCGGCTGTGGCCTTGTCTGGTATATCCTATCTGGAATTCAAGTGTGGCTGTGCCGGGCAACTTCTTTCTGCTCGTCTGGAACTGCTGGATTCTAACCACCTGCATATATATCTGTCGGGTTCAACAGTGGCATGGTTCTGCGACCATGGATATGCATGGATGGCCTATATACTGGCTGCAGGCAGACGATAAAGCAAACAAAACTGTATGCATCCCTTCAACACTTGACACTTGCAAAACTGTTCTGCAGCAAGCCTTTTCCTGCGAAGGCCTGGCAGAGTCTGGAAGAGTCACTCCTGGACTGGTCGTGGCTACTACCTGGCTTTCTTCTTGTAGCTTCTTTTGGCCTGGCCGAGGACTTGGGCCGTATCCTCATCATTGCGAATGGTCTTGATGATGGTCTCGATCTGGTGCTGTTCGAGTTGGATGGTGAGATCGCACCTCCTTGGCCTCTTGCCACTCATCAAGCAGGTGACTTTGGAACCATTGATGTCCATGGCAACTTCTTCTTCTTGGTTGTCTGGAAAAGACCTCTTTCTGGTCGACTTCTTTCCTGAGCCTGGCTCTGGAGCATCGAAAAGTTGCTCTGCTGGTGTTGCTGGTTGGTCGAAGCTCTGGTTCCTCTTCTTGATGAGATTGGCCATGGCCGTAGAACCCGACAGACTGGCATTCTTGTCGGGTCTCTGGCCTGTGAGCAACTCAATTATGGGTTGGGAAGTGGGCCGAAGTTGGAGCCACTGTTTGTCCTTGGACAGCTTCACCAGATCCTTGGGGATGAGGATTGGCCTCTCCGACTCGTACTTTATCTGGATGGCCGCACGAATTTCCACCATGCTTGGAAGCTATGGTGGACGTGGAAAGCTGTAGCTGGCACTCGCTATGGCCGGGTGGCTGCAGCAAACATACCATGCAATACAAAGACATGAGCACACTGCTATGGCCGTCTGGCTCCCATGATCACACACATGCAATGCCAAATACAAAAAATCGAACAACAACTCTGATAAATTATTTGCTAAAAGCAAACAACATATATCTCTGGCAGTCCATACTATAATCTTCAAAATCAATGATAACATTCAGCAAAAACTTCGATTCCATTCTAAAACCCATGATTTCTTATCTTATACCTTCAGTGCACTCGACGAATTATGCACCACAAATCAGAATACATGTCATTGAAATATTACATCTCCATGTATGAATTTCGTATTCTTAAAGCCTATATTTCAACATCCATAACTCCATGTAACTCACCCTAACTTTTATAAAAGGTTAAGTTAATTATGTTACTTAGCTAACAAAATATTAACTTTAGTAACATAACATAAAAGATATAAGTATTATAGGAACATGTAATCACTTAATAGACGGTTAACACTCACTTATAACAGTTTAATAACTAGGGTACAACTCCACATAACTATGTTAACCACTTATAAAACAACCAGGATTCCAAGTACCCTTATAGATCCCTTATAGTAGCCCTTACAGACCCCTTTAAAGGAACCTTTGGGCCCCAGGTGTATTAATCCAACTGTGTTGTTCTCACTGTAAAACACCGAGGCGCCACTTGCACCTCGTGCAGCAGGGATGGGTAGACATACCAGCAGCGCCATTCACGGGCACGCGTCATGTATTCCTCAAGGACTTCCTCAGGAAGCGACCTTGGGCGGCGCAAGGTCATGGGAACATCTTAGAAAACAGACTGTGTTTTTGAATTTTGGATTTTCGGGATGAAGAGTTGTTTAGGGTTTCAGTTTTGGGTTAAAGTTTGAGGGTCTGGAAAGCTTTTCTGGCTCAACGATGGAAAGCCGTGCTAGACAATCTGCAATAAGATGGCTTTCTACAGGGGTATGGAGCCTTTAATCTAAGACTATTTCCAAAACCTAAACCCTAAACCCTAGCTTAACACTGAAGAACCCACCTTTTTAAGGACCTATATAAGGAAATCATAATAGGGCACCCTAAAAAGGTAGGTTATTCAAGGTTAAGGTAAGCCCTACACCCTAATAGCCCGAAAGCCTTCTGTGTTGCAGCCAGCGAGGCTCCAGATAGTCCATCAGACCATCTCCGACTAATGCCATGGGCCATTTGATCCTCAGAACTCGAGCTTGCCGGAACATGGTTTAAAGGGGTTTAGGGATTCATGGGTTTAGGGAGTTTTGGCGGTTATAGGCTGTGGGTTTAGGGAAGCTTCCAAGATATCGTGCAAGCTTTTACCGAAGCTCGAAGTCGAAGGCTCCCAGATCCGTGGTTCTACCTATAGTCTCCATTGTCGTTCCTTTGTTTGGTTTAACCAAATATATAATCAGGATCCTATAAGGTAACCCCAAAAAGGAACTACAATGGAGACTATAGGTAGTTTACGGCGTCGGAGCCAGAGCTGCTTGGTACATGCGATGCTGCGCTCGAAGGCTCAACAGCTTGAGGGTTTAGGGTTTAGGGTTTAGGGTGGTGCTTCGCACGCTCTTGGACGTGCAAGGGCTCGAGGTGCACATGGTTTGTTGACTGGGTTCTTGACAGTCTTGACAGGGAAATTAATGTAAGTTATCATAATAGGGATCTAAAGTTCTAAGGTGTAAACAGTAAACCATATGGTTTCCTTACTATGGCAACTTAAAGTAAACCCTTCAACAAGAACCCAGGTTGCTTAAGGGTTTCGGTCCTTGAGGGTATCACAAGCTCTTTGACACTGGTTCGTATATGCGAGCGGGGAGTCCGACAGTTGCATTGCATGTAAACGGCCCCAACAGGGAAGGTGGACGTCCAACCAGCGAATATGTCAAAGCGCTTCATACGGAAACGCTGTGCCGGAAAAAACAAATCCAAGGATCACAAAGGACGGCAAATCCATGAAAGCCTGACATTTCGATTAGATGCGCAGCGGGATCTTCGAAGCGTGGCAGGGTTTGGGCTTAGCTTTTTGTTGAGTCATGGTCTGGGCCATGCTTAATCCCGAAACCCCTAAATCCTAAACCCTAATCCACAAACCCTGAGCCCTACACCCTAAGCTCTTTTGCCCCAAGCCCATTTTTGAACTCGGAGCTCTTTCCACAAGCCCTGACCCCTTTCGGCTTTCAGCGTTTTGCTGCGAAGAGCTCAGGTCTAGCTTTTCTTCCTTCGGGCTTTAAGAGGCCTTTTTCGGGGTTCGGTCTTTTGAGGTGTTTTCAGGCCTGAAGACCTCAAGCCCTGTAAGGGTTTCGACTCTAGTGGGCAAGGGGACTGTCTGTTTACATGGACATGCTCATGTTCATGGCTGTATGAAACAACTTGTGTAAAACCATCTGGGCCGAAACATTTGTAGCCATTCTATTACAACTGTAAGAAGGAACCCCCAAAATAGGCTAGGTAATTATATTATTTACGGCCCTACGGTAGCAATGTAACAGGCCAAGAGCATGTATTCCTAAAGGGTCCAAGTATCATTATGGCTTATACTTATAGGCTATTTTGAGGACCAAAGTATACCTTAACCTTGAATAACCTATCTTTTTCGGGTTCCCTATTATGATTTCCACATATAAGTCCTTAAAAAGGTGGGTTCTTCAGGGTTAAGGTATACCATAATGGTTTAGGGTTTAGGGTTTAGAGTTATAAACCCTAAACCCTAAACCCTAATAGTGATACTGGCACCCGTTGGGAGTGATGCACCAAGCCAGCCTCGAAAGGCAACTCCCAGAAATCCGAAAGCACCACGGGAATGCAGTTTGCAAACCTCAGGCGGCTCAGGCTTAGGGTTTTTTGAGCTCCTTCTTATGTCTGCCCCTCGTCCAGGCTTACACGGCTTAGGGTTTAAAGTTTAGGGTTTACGCTCTGGCAACTCGGACTTGCCAGGCCTCTTAGGGTTTAGGGTTCAGGGTTTAGGAAGAAGGTATTGGGGCCGCACAGACGAGTTCGACTTATCATCGCGCACGTGCTTCAGTCTCACTTGCCTGGAAAGACGCAAAGACTGCAAGCGAAGCACAAGCCCTTGGGTTTTGCCAAAAGGAGCCTATCAATTCCTCCGCTCTTCTCTTCAGCCATGCGGGCCATGCGACAACGCCTCGAAGAAACGCAGCGACCATGCGGATTTACCTGTTCCGACACGGTCGTGTGAGTTCCATCGCCCTGGAGTCTCGGGCCCAATACTGGCAGTCTTTACTGCTTGGTATATCGCATTTTACCAACGGGCGGCATCACCCCCAAAGTCCCAACCCGGAACAAAGGCCTTTGGGAACGAAGCAGAACTTCGCCGTGCCCATGGCAGCATGCATCTCTGGGAAGCTCAAGTTCTGTGCCTTGGAAGTGCACCGGCTAAGTGCATGTTGCAATTATGCTGGGTATACATACATACAGACACGTATACATACACAAACATAGGCTTATACAACCTATTAGTCTGTTTATGTATTATGAAATTATAGGTGCATGGGTTCAGGATTAAGGAATTTCATGTCGGCTCGAGGCGCCTGGGATTCTAAAACTGAAAGGACTGAGATCAGGTTAACGGGGCGTTTATGCGTCAGGGTGTTGAGGGTTTTAGAGTCTGGGCCTTGGGGTCGGGGCCTTGTAGCCTACAGTTTTGGAATACAACGATTTCTGGCAGAGACAGAGCGATGTGGGGGGATTAGCTGATGAGCTGGCATTGACTGAATCAACTCAAGACAGATGCACCAATGAATCTACTCAGCACCTCGTGTGAAACCAGTAGCTCAGTCATGGCAATGATGACCTTGCAGACTGCTGTTTGCTCAGTTGGGGTCGGGCAGGATCAAACACATTACTTGAAGCAGATTGGGCTTTGTTCATCTTCGTTCCATGACTACGCAAAATTGTAAGATGGTGTAAGCCAGGCCGTGCGACAGAATGGACGAACCCCACCGACACCGTGCAGCATCTCATGCTCGGAGTCTACATCCGGAAACTCTAAACTCTAAAACCCTAAACCCCAAACCCTTAAAAACCCTAACCCTCTTCATGATTTGCCGTCAGGAGGCAACGTAGATTTTCCCCTCCTCCTTGAGTCTCCGTATAGCCTCTTCTGAGTCGACTCGATGGCTTTGAGGGCTTACGCAAAGGGACAAGGAGGCATGTAACCCAACGGATCCTAAGTATCTATATAATAGAATGTAGCGTTTCTATATGAGAACTTTTACTACTATGATTTGGGGAAGTATCCTCCATAATAGTAATCACAGTAGTCGGAATGTGTTATTTTGGGTCATGGTGACATAACAATTGTGTGAGATTTCGGGTCGCTGAGCATGTCCATTCAACCGACACTTGCAGGAAACTCGTGCTAAGTTCAACGATAGCGTGATTTTTGGAAACCACTACGACCTCCCAATCCAGTTCTACCCTTCCAAGACTTTCATGGAACTCCGTATAGGTGATGGCTCCAATTATTCGAGCCCGAAACCCGGAAGAAAGGCCCGCATGCCTTATAAAGCTCCCTGCGCATACACCTGCAAACAAAAACCTCAAAACCCTTGCAACTAAAAAGTTAACTACGCTAAGGGGCTCATATAATGAATCCTATAAGGTGATCCCAAAAAGGAACTACTTTGGGGCCTATGGGTAAGTTAACCGCCCTAAGACTCAAACCCCTCAGTGACCGCTTATCCGAGATGCGGCTCGCACGTCCGGACCCCCTTGGCTCGGGTGGGGACCACCTGGGCAGCTCAGGGTCACTGTAAGGGGATTTAATAGGGCTTTAATAGTTAGAATAATTAGTGTTCCTTTAAACGGGTCTATAAGAGCTACTATAAGGGATCTATAAGGGTACTATATAATATCAGGGCCTTTAATAATTAGAATAGGGTTTTGGGGCCCATTATACGATAGTGATAATAAGGAACCCCCAAAATGGTATTGGTAATTATTCAGGCCCCTATAGTACTTCAAAGACTTTAAGTGGCACTACGAGGGGTACTGTAAGGGATACTACATGGGTGGCTTCATGGCCGAAACCCTACTCAGACGATCGATCTCGGCATGACTTCAGCCACGGGCGCCTTTGCCCATGCAGGGTTTGAAGTTTAGGGTCGATAGGGGAGTTTCCGAAAATAGGGGACCCTAATTTAGAACCCTTATATATAAGGACCCCAAAACAAGGTATCCCTAATTTTCGGAAACGGCCATATAGGCGACAGGGTTGGTTTAGTGCGGTGGCGGCGGGAGGGGGGGGGTTAGTTTGAGCCCTGGGGACATTGCAGGCATTGTACAAGTAGATTTCACTAGGGTTTAGGGTTTAGGGTTTGGGGTTCAGGGTTTAGGGTTTAGGGTTTAGGTGGTAACGCATCAGCTCTATCTTGCTTCCAGCCACCCTCCTATAGCAATAAAACCAATTAACCCATGAATGCAAGGAAGACTGCGTAAACTGTTGTGGAGCCTCACATGAAAGCACACCATAGTACATGAGAGCAGAGACATGTAGTACCATGAAAGAGCTTCGGTATGATAACCAGTACGGTCTGTAGTAATGTAGTACTTATGCCGTAAAAGTTTTACAACTATGCGCAGAATATTAACTCCCCTTAAAGCTAAACCTACACCCTTACCCACTAAACTAGGCTCTGAAACCTGCACCCATAACCCTACAAATCCTAAAACCCTGAATCTTAAACCCCCAAATCCAGAAGCAAGCAATGCCTGAGCTTTAACCGTTTAAACCCTATACCAAGGCCCTGGCGAGAAGAATCGATCCGGCCCAGGAAGACAGCGAAGCGCTTTCGCTCTGCAAGTGGGCGAGACCTCGGCTAGGGTGACTGACAACAAAGCTACCAGTAAGGCTTATCTTATGCTGCGTTATGCTATGTCAGGCTATAAAAGTATTATACTATGCTCTGAAAGTACGATGTTATGCCTAGCGGTTGACGGCTGATCAAAAATCTGAGGATGATGGGCTTTAGTGCTTGTTGGTGGGAGAGGGGAGGGGAGGCCTATACTTCTCAGCACTTAAATGGGGGTTTCCGAAAATAGGGGACCCTAATACAGTACCCCAGATAGTAGGATCCTTATTATAAGGACCCCCACAATGAGGTGCCCCTGAATTTCGGAAACTCTCAAATTGAAGCCACGAATGCTAAGGGCCTTTGAGCTGAAGCCATTCAATCACAAAAGCTGCCCTCCAGGCATGGGCCCTGCAATCTGCAAGAAAACCGTGCTCTGAGGCAGAGAGGCCAGTATGTAGGGTATGGCTTCAAGGCGGTCGAGTATGTATATATATATATATATATATATAGATATACATATATGGTCACCCCCCCCCCGTTGACAGACCATCCCCTTCAAAACATCGCTCCCACCGGTGTGTTCGTGCTTTTTCCGGGGTATCGAGTTTGAGCCCTCCGAACGTATCTGTGGAACCACCAAAAGACTCGTTGACAGACCATGCCCTTTCAACTCAGTCGTAGTGCATGGTCTGTGATCGGGGGAGGGGGTACTCAGCTTTCAAAAACTCAATTCCAAAATTTCCAAAATTTCCAAAATTCTCTCCCTTAACTTTCCGGATTTCCAAAATTTCCAAAATTTCCAAAATTTCCAAAATTTCGAAATTTCCAAAATTTCCAAAATTTCCAAAATTTCCAAAATTTCCAAAACGGCCCGACCTAGTGGACAGGATTTTTCCAAAACATAAGGGCGGACTTTTTGGAAATTTTGGAAATTTTGGAAATTTCGGAAATTTTGGAAATTTTGGAAATTTTGGAAATTTTGGAAATTTTGGAAATTTTGGAAATTTTGGAAATTTTGGAAATTTCGGAAATTTTGGAAGTTTTGGAACTTTTGGAAATTTTGGAATCTCTGGACCTTGGAATTGATTCTCAGGAGGGCTGATTGTGACCCATCCGATGACAGACCATGCACGACTTACTTGCAAAGGCAAGGGCTGTCAATACTCATGCCCATATTTAAACGAATATCTCTCAATCTACCTGTCTATCTGTATATACATATATGTATTGATACTCCTACATATAGTATTGCCATTGGAAATACTGACAGTGATCATTTGTTGAATGCTCAAGCTAATACCAGCATTACTACTAATATTACACTTCTATAAAGCTTAGTACGAATATGCATAACACAAATACTAAGATTGATTAGTATTGCTCTTATTACTCCTACGCATATCAATAACCATATTCATATTGATAATAATGTATATTAATACCAATACTAACACACACCTGTATGTACTAATGTACATAAACATGCATACCACCATATTAAAATACAAATCCTTTAACTCACTCATGTATTCAACTGTTAGAATTTCACGTGATCAAGAGTAATAATACTACAAACATTCTTTCGAATGTATATCATCAATAATATTATAGTACTAACGCTAACACTACTGCTAATACTTAACACAAAATTTATACTAACATCAATATTTACATAGCTATTGATACTCCTACGAATACGAATACGTAAACTCTTGTGCGTTAACAGTAGTGCTATCACCAACACTAATACGGACTTTGATAATCTGCTGAATATTCAAGAATGCCACTAGTATTACCAGCATGAACACCCATATTATGGCTATTACGAGTATAAATAGTCCTATTTCTAATAATATTGACATTAATACTGCTACGAATACCAATAGTATATTCATATTTGTTGTTGATAGGCCAGATGCTCCATGATAGTATGCCATGCTCACGATGTGGTCGAAGCTCCCATCTCTAGTGTATGGCTATAATTAGTTTTGCGAACATGCTCTCTTACGGAGGGCGCGAGCACACCATTTTAGGAACTGCGCATGCACATGTTTGATGAGTGCAATGCAGGATAGAGTCGGTGCAGTTCGCAGTGCACGATTCAAGAAGTCATATGCTTGTCTCTGACTTGCAAGCATGACTCAGTTCGCTTTTACACGGCGAGACTTCGTATGGTATTTGGCTCAAGAACGCGAAAAGGATCCGAGAGCTGTTTGGCAACTTTGGTTTCTTGCGACTGGGAGTGTTTGGGGTTGTGACGCCGACACAGAGGCCAACGGCCTCTCCGTGCAGAACATAACATCCCCAAACCCTTAACAGCGAATACCTTGAAAGCTTGTGTTGCCTTGACTCTTTCGAGTCGTGCGAGACTGCTGGGGCCTTCTGGTTTAATCTCGGGTTCGTAGTCTTGAGGATTTGCGGGTAGGAAGGTCAACACGTGTTGCCCGGGCCGGTACTTTCACTTCCGTGATCCTTTGAGCGCCGTGAGTGTGATAATGCAGAGCGATGTGGATGAAGATGCCACTAACCCGTATCATACGCCTCGGAGGGGACAGCGTGCCCTAACGAATATGCCTGATCATTATAGTCCTGTGACAGACACCATGAGTCCAGATCAGAATGCAAGGGCATTGACATCAATAGCCGGTGCTCATAACCAACAGGTTATGAGCCCAAGCGGCTCCGCACAACCAAGCGTGCCTCCGTTCCCCACGGCAGCAGGGCCGTCAGCACAGTTCGGAGGCATTCAGTTCATGCAAGCAACCCGGCTGGAGATCCCGACGTCAATCCTTCAGCAGTTTGCACAGGCAGCTTCGCTGGATGCTTCTATGCTCCATGACCTGAGAGCAGCTGTCATTGAACTGAATGATCGTATGCAGTATAGATCCAACGTTTTGGGAGATGCATGCGTAACGCTCCACTCTGGATACAATGCCATAGTGGATAACCTGGACAGGCTCCAACAAGGAATGGAGGCCCATAGTCGTACTTTGGCCTTTCTCATGAATGAAAACCTGTCTTTAAAGCAAGAGATAGAATCCACCGGTGAGCAGCTCAGCACGGACATGCGACAACAGTTTGCAATCGTTCGCGAGCAGTTGAGTGCGGTCCAGATAAAGGCGGAAACGGCCATGATGGGCCCGCAACAATGGCAAGCCCAGGTTGAGGCACACATTGTAACAATTCAAAACAACCTTGAGGCTGGACTCCGGAAGGCCAGTTCTGAGAATGAGACCCTGCGATCTCGTGTTGGTGTGCTTGAACAGGCAAATCAAGAGCGGGAGCGGGAGTGGCAAACTTTTCGGCAGGAGCATCGCGCTTCAGCTGATCAGAAGGGCTGCGACTCAACTGAGGTCCGCACTCAGGTCGATGAACTGTGTGCTACTATGACAGATCATGGGCAGCGCCTCGATGTGATTTCCCGGGATGTTGCAGATCTGCATGCTTCAGTGGCAGAAGTAGAATCATCAGTGTCTCATTTGGAGAGTCACAGCGCGACCATCCGAGAGGAGATCAGGGGTTTACATCAGATTTGCGAGCATTTTGCCGTCTACACAGATGAGGAACCTGTTGTTGGTGATCCGGGGATGGAAGATTATGAAGCAGGGTGGTGGGGTCAGCATAATGATGTAGATGCGATGCCACAGGGTCCGCCGCCTGGCTTCGGGGATCAGCCGGCTTCGACGCCTGCACCCACCGGGGACCACACAGATCCCACGCAGAATGTGCCACAGGCGGCGCAAACTGCGTTCATGCCAGAATTCAGACCTTCAGGACCAAGTGATCACGGAGGTAACACGAGCATCCATCACGGTCGGTGGAAGCTACTTCAGGATGTGCCTGCGTTGAGGTTAGGAGCTGGAGAGCCTTGGGAACAAGGTATGAAGCTTCGGACCTGGTTCAAGCAGGTTGAGACTATTGCGGGAACAATTGCCGAATCATTCGGGGTTTATGTGAAGCAGCAGTTTAGGCTAGCAGATGATCGGCACAAGCAAAGGTTGGCAGGTTTGCACCAGTTGGATCCACCACCAAGGGTCCCACAGGAGGACTCGGAGAGTGAAAACCGGCTTGTGCTACTGCTGATCCGTTGTGTGCCCGCTGAGTTGAAGCAGAATGTCCTTGAAAAGGGAGATGAATCAGAACCGATGCGTGCAATTGCACTCCTTGAAGGGGTATTAGAAACATTGCAACCAGGTGGCGCTGCAGAAATGCAGTCGTTACAAGCTTTCGTTCGGAATCTGAGACCTGTTGGCACTGCAAAGGAGGGTCTGAGTGTGCTCCGACGGTGGCGGCTAGCAAGATCTAGGGCCATAGCATTGGCGCTCCCCCAGGTTGCCCCATTTGAGGAGCTTGGAGCGTTGGGAACACTTGCCCAGACTCTGGAGAAGCGTCATGACCGATTGCGTACCATGCTTAGTCTGCTGCGAACTAGGCCGGAAATCATCCGGCCAACCCCCGAGGGAGTAGACATGATGATCAGCCTTTTGGACCAGCAGTTTCAGCTACTCCATGCCGATGAGCAGGTAAAAACGAGTCGCGGTCGCGGCCAGGAGGATGATCTCGATCCAACGGCAAAGAAGGGCAAAGGCAAGGACGGAAAAGGCAAAGGCAAGGGTAGCAAGGGTACGGGTAAGGATTCAGGTTCAAAAGATGTGAAGCAGGAGTGCATAGCGTGGAAAACTACGGGAAAGTGTAGATTTGGCGACAGATGCCGATTCACGCATGGTAATCCACCAGCCCCTGGGGGCGCTCCACCACCCAAAGCAAGCCCAACTCCTAAACCCAAGGCTGCCCCAGCTGTAGCTCCGTCGCAACAACCTTGTCTTGCTTGGAAAAAGAATGGGAAGTGTAGGTTCGGGGACAAGTGCAAATATTCGCATGATGGAGAGGCTAAGCAAGCCACGGCAAAACCACAGGGAGCAACCACCACTACGGCGAGTCCATCAGAACCCTTAGTAGGAGCCGTAGCAAAGGCCTCAGCATGCATCACCCGATCTAGGGCTATGAAGGTTATTAGTG